ATTTGAAAAATTTCCATGCTGGTCCTCAAGCATTATTACATTTTGTTAGGGAAAGGTTTTGGCCCATTGGTGGCAAGGACTTAGCTAGAAAAACAGTTCATGAATGCTTAATTTGTTTTCGTCATAAACCTATCATTTCAGATCAATTAATGGCCGATTTACCTCCTGAACGTGTAAATCCAAATCTAACCTTTCATAACACAGGGATAGATTTTGCAGGCCCTTTTCTAATCAAATATAGAAATCAAAGGAAAGGTAGTTTACATAAAGTTTATATAGCAATCTTTGTTTGCTTAGTTACAAAAGCGATTCATTTAGAAATAGTATTTGACTTAACATCTGAAGCCTTTTATTGCATGTTTTAAAACGATTTTTTTTCGCGTAGAGGTAAAAGCTCATGTCTGTTTAGTGACAATGCAACTAATTTTGTAGGAGCTCACAAAGAGTTAAAGAAACTTGCTTCTTTAGTTACTGTCCCTGATGAAGTTTTGGGTAAGTATTTGGCATCTGAAAATATCTCTTGGAAATTTATTCCTCCTCGTGCCCCCAATTTTGGTGGAATTTGGGAGGCCGGAATCAAATCTTTCAAATTTCATCTTAAAAGAACTATTTCCGATGCTAAATTAACCTATGAAGAATTTTTAACCGTAATTGATCAAATTGAAAGGAATACTAAATTCGAGACCTCTTTCTCCTTTATCGTCTGAACCTTCAGATTACGAACCCTTGACGCCAGGTCACTTTTTAATAGGTAGACCCATAAACTCAATTGTAGAACCTCAAATTTTAGACTTGTCAGAAAGCAGATTGTCAAGATGGCAAAAATTAACTAAAATGATACAGATTATATGGAAACGATGGATAACTGACTATCTTAATCACTTGCAACAACGAAAGAAATGGTATTTTTCAAAGGACAATATAAAGAAAAATACAATAGTTATTATTAAAGATGATCAGTTACCTCCATTTAAATGGTTACTAGGAAGAATTGATCAGACAATTCCTGGTAAAGATGGTAAGATACGAGTAGCAGTCATTAACACAAAGTTTGGTCCAATTAAAAGGCCAATATCAAAAATTTGTTTATTGCCTATTGAGGATAACTTCAAGGATTAATTTCTATTGTTAATAAAATATACATTGTTCTTTATTATACTTATATTTTGGTAATTTTCATGAAAAATGTCAATATTTTTTTTACTGTTTGAAATGTTGATATATATAATTATTGAAAAAATTTGCAAATGTTCAAACTTTATGGAATTTTCTGAATTGTTTATTTCATTCTGTAAATGATTTACTAACTTTAAGTCTTTTGTTAATGCTTAAAAAAAACTGAATAGATGAATTGCTATTGATATTGAATTGTATGCTTAGATTTAGTTTGCATATCATAGATATTGCAACGTGGGGCGGTATGTTGCCTCCTACGCGGCAATATAAGTTTGTACAGCGCATTGTTTCTGCGCAATTTTCAGTTAGTTAAGATTCGAACTCCTAGCGTAGCATACATGTTTTGATCCCGTATGGTCGGGAATTTATCATTTTCGATTTAGATTTTTAGTTATGATACAGTCCACGAAATAAAATTGTTGTTGTTGTTGTTGTTGTAAAGTTGTCTTTAGTATAGAGTCTAACCAGCGACCTCAAAACAGTCGTTGTTATGTTTGTCTTGCTCAAGGTCATCGATTTTCTGATTGTTCTGAGAAGAACTCTTGTGTATACTGCTACAAAAAACATAATGCAAGCCTTTGTTACAAAAATGAGAAAAAACCCGAAGCATCGCAATCAAAAGGTGTAGAAAATTCAGCGTGCAATCACATTAGCATCGGTAGGAATAAAATATTTTTACAGACGGCGACAATAGAACTTAAAAGTAGGTCACGCAATAAATTAGTTCGTTATTTATTTGACAGCGCTAGTCAACGCTCGTATATTCAGAAACGTCTGTCTAAACAACTGGGATTAAAAGTCGTGGGAAGGGAAGAAATAATGATTCATACTTTCGGATCTCAAGTGCCTAATAAACAGAACTGTGCGCGAGTAGAAGTAAAAATAAAAAACATTTTCGTTAACCAGGAATTAATTATTCAAGGTTTTAGAGCCTGATGAAATATCGAGTGCTGAACTAGACTATCCTCCGCAAAATATTAGGGAGTCGTTAAAAGATCGGGGAATAATTTTAGCGGATGTTGATCACGAACCTTTAGATAACTACAACGTATCTTTACTCATTGGAGCTGATAATTATTGGAAATTAGTAAAAGACAAAATTGAACGTTTGAACTCAACATTAGTTACAATGGAAACCAAAATGGGTTGGATTTTAATGGGAAAACTATTTGATCGTATTGAAGATAAGGAAAATGTAACTAATGCCGTCGCAGTGACTTCTTTATTAATTCACACATCGAAGATTGAAAATTTGTGGAAATTAGATTTATTGGGGATTCAAGACCCTGTTGAAACAAAATGTAGAAAGAAATGGAAATTGCCGCATTGAATCATTTTAACAAAACTGTTACCTTTAAAGAGGGAAGATATGAGGTTCAGTTGCGTTGGGTAACAGAAAAGGACTGTTTAAGTCAAAATTTCGATATTGCTAGACAGCGTTTAAACAGTACGACACATCGGTTGATACAAAAGGGCAAATTCGAGGATTACGTAAATGTTTTCACAGATTGGTTAAATGAAGGAATTATAGAAGTCCCTGAACATGAAATGAATAATGTGTCACTATTTACCACATAAAGGGGTATTCAAAGAAACTTCGACCACGAAATTGCGACCGGTATTTAATGCTTCCTGTAAAGACAAAAATTCGCGCTCACTTAATGATTGCTTAGAAAAGGGTTCAAATTTTCTGGAACAAATCATTCCTATAATTTTAAGATTTCGCAAGAATAGAATAGGAGTTATTTCAGACATAAGAAAGGCTTTTTTGCAAATGTCAGTGAATAAGAGTGATCGAGATTTCTTACGATTTTTATGGTGGAAAGACTTTGACAAGAAGGAACTTAGAGTTTTTAGACATAAACGCGTTGTTTTTGGATTGAATTGCAGTCCCTTTTTATTGGCTGCTGTATTAAGCAATCACATTGATCTAAAATCGTCTAAATACCCTGAAACAGCGGAAAATTTATAAGAATCATTCTACGTAGATAATTGCATCACATCTGTTCCTGATGAAGAAACACGCGATTCATCGAGGAATCGAAATAGATATTAGATTCTGCGTCATTCGATTTGAGAGGGTGGGAGCACACTTCTCTTTTGAAATCTGAAGACAGTATAGTACCTACTCCTGTATTGGGAATTTTATGGGATAAGGAAGATGATAGCCTTTTTTCTGTGAGGTGAAGACTGCTACTTACAAACCAGTGAATCTACTAGAAGAAATATATTGTCTGCGGTACATAGCATTTTCGACCCATGGGTTTTCTCTGCCCTATAACGCTAACACCTAAACTACTCATACAAAAGACGTGGTTGTTAAAAATTGGTTGGGATACAAATATACCCGAAGACTTAGGAAAAGAGTTCTATTCGTGGATTGATGATTTGTCACTTTTATCCAGTATTAGAATTCCAAGGGCTTTAGATATAAATGGAAATGAAAGTCTTAGTCTTCATACGTTCTGTGACTCAAGTAAATAAGCCTATGGATGTGTGATTTATTTAAAAAAAGAAACAAGTGAAAATGTATCGGTGTATTTTCTTCTAGCTAAAAGTATAGTGAGTCCATTAAGGAAAATGACCATAAATCGTCTAGAATTATTATCCTGCTGTATAGGATTCAGCCTCGCAGCTCTTACTTTACAAACACTCAAATTAGACAACGTTCCAAGGAACTATTGGACAGATTCGAGTACTGCTCTTTCTTGGATCCAAAGAGATGACCATTGGGCGCCATTTGTCGCAAATAGAGTAAAAGAGATACGAAAATTGTCATCGGAATCTGAATGGCGTCACATTCCAGGAAATTTGAATCCAGCAGATATACCATCAGCAGGTGTTCGATTAAGAGTTTTGTGAAATCTCGCTGGTGGCAAGGGCCAGAATGGCTTATGAAGAACGAGGAAGAGTGGCCAACTAGTGAAGTGATTACTAACGAAGAAGAAATTATGAAAGAAAAGCGAAAGAACATTATTTCGACTTTGGCTAATATCACCGCTGAAAAATGGTATCTGATTTACTTTTCAAGTTACTTTAAAATTGTGAGAATGATTTCTTGGATTCTAAGATTCATAAATAATTGTAGAACATGGAGGAAGAAATTATGGCAACAAAACCCTGAGTGTTGAAGAATTGGACATTGCTGAGGAAGAAATTAGTGAAGATCGTTCAACAAGAAGCGTATTCTCTAGTGAAAGAACAGTTGAAGGGACATTTTACTTTCAGGATGAAGAAGGGAATTATAAAGATTGAAAACGAAGATTTTGAGAAGACATGATGATGAAAACTTCCGATGCCCCATTGTACTTCCATCCAAACATGAATTAGTAGAAAGAATTGATACAAGACTACCATTTACAACTTTTACATGCTGGTACTCAAATTCTTTTGACAAATATTCGTCAAAACATTTTGGATAATAAAAGGAAGAAAAAACAGTACAAGGAGTCATAATCGAAGTGCGTTCGGTGCAAGAGACACTCAGCGAAAGCTCTTGATACAGTTCCTTGTCCTCTCCCAGAAGATCGAGTCAGAGATGCTTATGCATTTGAGGTGACAGGTGTTGATGTAGCAGGACCACTTTATTTAAAAGAAAATAGAAAAGCTTGGATCTTGCTTTTTACTTGTGGAGTTTTTCGTGCAGTTCATTTAGAATTAATTGAAAGCTTATCGACTAACGGATTTTTTCTCGGATTTAGAAGATTCATAGCACGAAGAGGACGGCCTAGAGAAGAGGCAGCAATAATGGCACAAATTTTGTAGGGCCAAGGAATTTGCTCCAATCTGTTGACTGGAACCAAATTATCAGAAGTTCTTCGATAATGAAAATTCAGTGGAAGTTAAATCCACCAACAGCAGCATGGTGGGGCGGCTGGTGGGAGAGACTGGTTCAGATGATCAAGAAATTATTGAGAAGAGTCCTGGGAAAAGCATTACTTTCATATGAAGAAATGTTAACTATCCTATCTGATGCAGAAGCAAATATCAACTCCAGACCATTAACATACGAGTCAGAAAATTCCACCGATTTATGTGCACTCACTCCATCTATGTTTATTCAGGATGTGCGAACTGAAGGTGTTCCGGATCTGGACAGTTTGGATAAAATCAACTTATCGAAAAGATGGCGATACCACCAAAAGTTACGTGTGAAATTTCGTAAAAGATTTAGAGATGAATATCTTGGTATGTTAATACATCGACCAAAGACTGTACCTTCGCGAACCATCAAGAAAGGTGATTTAGTGTTTGTAGAGGACGATAAAAGGAAAAGAACAGACTGGCCTATGGGTCGTGTGATCGAAACATACCCAGGAAAAGACAACAACATCAGAGTGGTGAAAGTAAAAACATCTAATGGTGAACTGTTAAGACCAGTTCAAAGAGTATTTCCAATGGAGGTAGACAATAAAGAATCTATCTTCGAGCTTAAAACTACTGAATCATCCAAATCTTCGAGAAATACTAGTAAAATGAATGATTTAGTATTATCTGTGAATTTGAAAATTCTGATAAAAACAATTCAGTTTAGTAGATATGGCAGAAAAATTGTGAAACCAAAGAACTTTAATTAGTTTAATTTTGTTTCCAGTACCACTATTATTTGTTTTCTTTGTTCCTTTCTTTGAATTTAAATTTTGTATACAATTTGATTTTCCAGTTTAGTGAATTAATCTCTTTGCTAGTATTTTTCAGAAAAGAATGCTACTGATAAGAAAACACATTTCGTGATAAATTTTCACATTATGCTTACTTCTTACCTTTAGCTTTTTGATTATGGAGTAAATACTAAAATCTTTATAAAATAATGTATATGTAATTTTGAAAATTATTCAACTCATCTTTTATAATTTAAATTTCGAAGAAATTAATAATATAAGTGTGAATTTTTAGATAGTAGTTTAACTTTTAAAACTTGTTGTTTATTTACAAAAATAAACTCCAGAACTATCAGAAAAGCTCGCTCAGGCACAGTAAGAAAAAAGGGGACAAATTTGTTCTAAAATTTAATCATAAAACTGTTATAATTTACCACATTCGTCGAACTAGAATAGAAGTCTTAATAGCTGTTTTGTAGAAAATTATGCACCCGAAATGCAATTTAATTTCCAAATGAAAAACGAAAGGAACCAATTTAATTAATTCAGGAATCTGAGATTTCGAAATTCGGTCTCCAAAGTGTCAAAGTTATGTTCAGAAAATTGCATCCCTTTCAGCAAACAGCAATTATTCTTGTAATTTATATACGTCACTCCTTAGAAGCAGCATTAAAGCCAAAAATGTTAATCGAAGTATTTCTAGTAACCTTTAAATATTGCTTTCGGGTTCTTAAACTTGTATTTCTCTGAGGGTATTTTATGTGCCTATTCATTTATTTCAAAAATAAATGTGTTTCATTATGCAGTTTTATTCAAATTTTAGAGAAGTCTGAAAATGTAGGCAGCTTTCGTTTCTTTACATATCGTAGTGGGTGTGTATGTTTTACGTCTTTTATAAAAGTCCCATTTTTTTTTCTTATTATGCAACGAAGCCTGGTACAAGTGATAAGATTAATGTAGACAAAAATTTAAATTTGTCTAGAGATCAAAATCAAAGTTTTTACTCTGTTTCATGCAGTAAAACACGTCTTAAATTTATATGCAGTTTAACCCTTGCAGTTATTTATTTTGGCTCTGCTTCCACTTTCATCAACTCCTAACGAAATCCATATTATTAACTAAAGTATAAACAATAGCAGAGTTTTTGAATTGAAAGAGAGAGTTCCTAAATAATAAGCTGATTATTACTCTGCTTAGGTTTCCTGCTAGCTTAATTTAATTTACTGCCTTAAGCTTCGGCTAGCCGTTTTCGCTTAGCGAACACTTAGGGTTGAGTCAAGATTTAATAGAGTTTGTTTCAAATGTATTTTAAATTCAGTTTTAAGTTTAACTATGTTCTGAATTACCCGCAAGCGATGGAGTTTTGTTTTCTAAACACTTTCATTTTAAACCTCCACTCTGAATTTATGTTTCAAAGTAGTGCTGTTGGCTGGTTTACCTGATAATATGTGTGGTTATTTGGAAATGACTTCAGCGAACTAATATCTTTAAGCACCCTATAAGTCTGCATATTTTATAGAGATTTTTTTGACAAATTATAACAAAAAAATATGGTGACATTTTTTTTAAAAATAGAGTTCTGATCTTCGGATTATTCCGTTACACCTGCAATTCCCAACCTTGTTCGTTTTACGCACAATCTAAACACCAGTAATTATGATTCATTATTATTGTTCTTTTCATTAGCACATTAACACTCATATGGTAATTTGTAGTTTGTGTTCCATGTTTTCCACAAAGTTCGTTAAGAAGTGGTTTTACATTTGACAGATTACAGCGCCAATCTGTTATAAATGAACGAGAATGTTTCTTCGTTTGAAGTATTTTCAGCATATCACGCAAATATAACAGTGAAATGGAGATAGAATTTTAAACGAATACTTAAATCGAAGCCTCAGTACCATGCAGCATTGCATTGCATAAGCAGAATAAGGAGATAACGCAGCTCCATTCAGTTTTATAAAATTAGACAAGACACGCTGTGCACTAAAGACCGTTGGATCTTCGAAAATTTTACACAAAATGTTTAAATTGGTTCAACCTTTAAAATATAAAGATCTAACTTCGCCACTCTAACCCACGTCCGATGGTATTTTGGATCAACCATGCTCCGATGACCGATGATGACAAGCATGCTCCATCTTCTTTTACATACTACAAACCATTAATATTCTCAGCATAAACGAAAGATTACAAGTGGCCTCACAAGTAATTCAATTTATATTATTTCTTTGTCAGGTAGTTCAATATTCATTAGAGATCTGTCGTTAACCGGAAAGCTTGTGATTAATCTCTACCGTACTGAACTATAAGTACAATTTATACATTTTCCCATATATTTGTCTTTAGGTTTCGTGGCTAGAATCAACATTAGGTAGAGTCATTATATTTTTGAAGTAAGAAACACGAAAAATGAGCAATGCTCTCGCCGGGACTCGAACTTGGACCTCTCAAATACGCGCCGAGTGTGCTACCATTACACAACGAAGGCATGCAGAAATAAGAGAGAAAAATACCTTATATACTCCCTCTTTTAAAGGGCAACTGAGGATTAGGGTACTCAATCGCCAAATCCTGTTAGTGAAGAATCATCATCCACCACCTTTTAGTTCGGGCGCCACTGTAGAGTCATTAGGAATTTTGAAGTCGGAGGCACGAAAAATGAGTAATACCCTAGCCAGGACTCGAAAGTGGACCTCTCGAACATGCCCCGAGTGTGCTACTGTTACACCACGAAGGCATGCACAAAGGCGGGAGAAAATATCTTATAAGATATAAAAATATTTATATTATAATTATCATTCCGTGTTGTTTTTATTTAAAGTCTAGGAAATTTGTAATTATATACATATCACTTTCAAAACATCGGTGTACGACGACGTGGCAATATGTCAACAATATTCTAGCTGTACTTTTTCTAGCTGATATTTATTAGTTCATTACTTGATAAAATTAAATACATAAAATTTTTGCTCGAAGAATCTTTTTACTTTTAAACATAGTAATTATTTTTCTAATTCGGACACGCTGATCGCAAGTCAGTTTACAGAATTGTGACATTTTACTTTGTTTTACTAAAATAAACGAGTGAACAAACGAATATCTAAATTTAGTTTTCTCTTAAAATTAAGAAAATATTATGGCACGAAACCAAATATGGCATCATGAATTTACGTAAAAATCTTGACGTTTAATGTAATTCTCCTCAGGAGTTATTTAGGAACTCTTTACATTATTTTAAAACGTGTCGTGTAATTAATTTCTATAACGTGTGATAATTTCTTTAAGACGACAGCATTGGTTCTCTCCTATAATGTGAAGCTGATAGTTTAAATAACGCTTAAGAGAAACATTTCTCCAAGTCGAATAAATCCACCTAAGGTTTACATCAAAGTGACCGTTTTGACCCGTAGCGTAATCCCACAGCCAGAAGTTTCTCCGGTGATAAATGCAGCAGATTCTTGAAACAGAAGGCACTCCAACTATGCAGAGTGCTATTAACTTCAACTGTCAAGATAAGAAAACGTTTCTCTTCGCAAAAATATCACTTTCAGTCGATATTAGGGGAACTTAAAATTCTAAGCTTTTAAATACAGTTTTTCTTAATGGCCTGCCATCCTGTTTTATTAAGCACTTCATTCTTAAATTTACTAAAATTTCCATTTTTAAAACAATTTTAGGAGATTACCTTGTGCTACTTTTTATAAAATTATCTTATAGTTAATTTTAAGTGAGGTAAATATTAGTATAATATAGAATAATACGAGTGTTACAAATTCGAAAGGGTAAAAAAAAAGTCTACCAATGGGAAAAGAAAAAAAGAGGCAAAATCATTATCTCTCAAATGATTTAAAATAAATACAAATGTAAATATTTATTTCAAACAATCTCTCTAATAGTCTTGCAAGTTAAAAATTGTCACGAAGTATCTAATTTTAAATATGGGTTATGAACATTAGTGTATGAATGTATTTATTTTCACAAACCTTTAAAGGCAGTTACCCTGATAATACTTAGAAACGTCAAACAAACAACTAACGGGCTTTATTTCTCTTCTAATATGTGAATAACGAAAGATTTCATCTGATTTCCAGACGTGTATATTCTTTTATGTATTATTTTTCTATTATGTACGCTCACTCTGAGTATTTGTCTCATTGAACGTCTAGATAAAAAAAAAAGTCATGTCTTGTTAAATAGACATGCTCCCCTTGTTGTCTGAAAAGGGTAATTAAGTTTCACAAATAATTGTAATATTTTCCCTTATTACCTGTATCTGCATCATGATGTTTTAGACAGAATTTCAAACACGTTGCAATATGCAGTGGGTGAAATTTTCTATCAAGATGGAGATAGCATTTAGAGATTTTATGACTTTAAAGGAAAATTCACTAATAATTTCCAAGTATTTTAAAAGTGACTAGTTGATTCGTTTTAGGTCATAAAAGTAAATAGCTGCGAAAGTATATTATGCAGGTTATACAGCTTTTATTAATTTATCAATTTATACTCTTAAGTTGCTGCCTCATAAACAATGCTTTCCTTCTCATAACTAAAACTTTTCTTTCTATTTCAAACGGATCATACGAAATCTAGGAAAACTTCAGAGTTTCTTAAAAATATTATTCATCTGATCCTCATTGCAGGTTTCGTTTTGAATAAAAAAAAACGTTTTTTCTGCTATTTAATTTGTTCGGAAGACATATGAATAAATAAAATAACAATATACACCGTTTGGAGTTCATGATCAGCCAGAAAAAATGAAATAGAAGATAGCAATAGGAATGTTTAGAGGATAGAGGATAGCAATATTTAGAGGACAGCTTAAGAAAAGCATAAATAAAATAGCTTAAGCAAAACCGGGAGCAAATATTTTATTTTCCTTAAATTATTCCCATAATGCCCAGTGTTTTTTCGTGTAGAATGACAAAGCTACTAAGTAATTAAGTAATTAAATGCATACAACTAGAATAAGT